AAACTGGGGCAGCACCAAAAACACACAGAGCACTGAAATAAACTCACCCACCCTATTTATACTCCAAAAAGCAATGAATACAGTAGAAACTATTTTGTTTTAATATCACCTGAGCAGCTCAATGATAGAAATTGTGATTTTCTGTTGTATCAAAATTTCACAGATGGAGAAATCAGTAATTTGATATAAAATGTTGTATCCTTCACCGCTTCCAGGAAAACGTAGATAATGTTTGCTGCAGGTGTGAAGGTGTATTGTTACTTTTTCATCACCATAGCAAATGCTCTGTTACACCTTTAACAATCGCTACATCGCAGCATGCATTCCAACAAAACACTGATTACATGTTATTTATTCCCTACCAGACTGATTTTTTTTTTTTTGTAAAAAACCTTTTATTGCACAGAATAAGACAAGCTACAAACATCCCTACATTTCCCAATGCTATGTAGACCTTTCCTTTTTTCCATTGTATGTATGAATGCAATTTATACCATATGAAGGTCCAATATAATTGAATAGAGCATCTAGAAATATGAAGGAGAGGTGAAAGGTCTGCTTGGCTTCAGGGAAATGTGAGAATACGTTTTGTATCCTTTAAAAAAATCTGGCTGGTGACGAATAAATAACATGTAATTACTTGTTTTGTTTGAATGCATGCTGTGATGTAGTGATTGTTAGCCCTGACACTCTTTTAACCCTTTAGCTGGCAGGAACATATAGCATACGTCAGGAGCAGCAGCAGGATATTTTACACCTACTCCCAAGGGCTGTAAATCATTGCTTTTAAACAGAAAATACTGCATTATGCCACTAGATGGTGCCAATTTAAATAATATTCGCCATCTAGTGGCCAAATATGGCATTCTCCATTTTAAATACCTGATTTACCTTTAAACAGCACAATATATAGCCAAATCACATTCTATTTTTACCTCATTCATACAGAACTAACCTAAAGGCACTTTCACTTGGTGAATGGCTTTGCAAATTATTTATAAATCAACCCCTAATAGTTAGCAGGCTACCACTCTTTAAGATTGCACAGAAATTAGGCTGCAAACAACTTGGTGGTAAATTAAGTATATTGTGGAAAATGAAATCAAATAAGACATTAATCAATAAACAGACAATTATAGAGACTTAAGAGCACTCTAAGATATAAGTGGTCAATGACCCACAAACCGGCAATTAAAAGACAGTACCAAAGCCAAATTTAACTATAACAGGAGCAACTAAAGTCTCTAAAACTGCATCAACTATCTCAAAAGAACAGTAGGATCCATGTGTGCACACAATGCATATAGCCCCAGCAGTGGGTGAGAGTATGCCTTCCTAGTACACGGGGTACCCCCATGAAGATAGTGAACAGTACCTGGCACCTAATACCTGACATTGGCCAGCTTCTGGAGGGGCCCTTCCTTTCGGTGGTGCACTGTCCCTTTAAGAGTGTGGGTGGATGGTAGGAGACTGGTTGATTAGTATGAGCAGTCTCTACTTGTGTGGTGGGTGCTTAAGATGTGTGCTTCAGCTCACCTCCCTGGCAAGCAGCTGGTTTGGTCCCAATGGCTTGGCGATCAGCAAATTCCAGAAGTTGGGTCTGAGATCCTCACACAGGCTGCAGTCTCTCAGATCCAATTTTGAAGAACTCCTATCCTGAAGAAGCAGCAACCCTCTCTCTCAAGCTCTGTCTCTGCAAGCAGCTATAGCAGGCTCTGGTGCAGGTCTGTCCTCTCTCTCTGGTGGGGGGTGGTGTGATAAAAATGTGGCTCAACCACCTGTTTTTACCATCCCCAATTGCCAATACCCAAGTGTAAACTAAGCCTAAGGGAGCCCATTTATTTTTTTAATAGGCTTGCAATGCACTGCTGCACATGCAAAACCAGACATGCACTTTTTTCTTTCTATTAAGCATGCATAGATGCTAACTGTACTGGATTTGATGGGACAGTCCCACATTTTGGATCTTTGTCCAGATAATGTTGTTTCCCAGAATCGCTCGTCTTTGAGTTACTGAGCATACAGAGTAGCACAAAAAACTGCTCACAAGTGGACAGTTCACTCACATTTTGGGAGAGACAATGCAGAATATGGGTGTGATCTGGATATGGCTGCTCAGAAAATGGGTGTGTCAAATGTGGGCCATGTCAGGGATGATGATGTCTTAGAGACTGGGACAAATATGTTGGTAAGTATGCAGGCGGATGGTTCATATGCATTTTTTGTAGTGTGCTTAATCTCAAATGCATTGTCTAGGTGCATTAGGCTGCATGAATGACTCCACCCTGCATTTATTTAAATTTTAATTAATTTGTGGACATGTGGTAATATGGGCATATTAACTGCACGTGCCACTGACAGGTTTCACCATTTCTACCATTTGTAGAAATTCTCCATTGTCATCTAGGAGCCTGTGTGCAGTTTTCTCTGTATGTTACTAAGTGTTGTTATCACAGGAGTTCTGCACAGATGCCAAATAGATTCTCTAATATACAGATATCCAATACAGGGACAATATTCATTTGTATATATAGTGCATGGATCACAATATAAGACAGCAAGCAGGTAAAAAAATATGAAATTCAGAATAAAATGGCTTTTAGGTGAACGTTCCAAAACAGCTTAGGAAGTGGAAACCCGTTATATGGTCTCCCGTTAGTTTCAAACGCTCTAGGTATTAATCTAGGCCTCATTATTGAGTGCGATGCAATATCCAAGCTGCTAAAATATAGCTCCATCACCAGCAAGAAAACCCCAGCGCCGTATCAAAACCATTTACTGCCATCTAAAACATTTCAGCTGAAGATTATATTTAATAATGAGAGTAAATCTTTTCCAAATCATTTTAATTGAATGTAATTGCTGGCACTGAACCCAGCCACTTTACAGCAACGGGAAAATTCCGCTCCACATTTATAATGTCATGGAGATGCAGAAGGAACATGGCCACTGTTGCCAGGGAATGGATGGAGGTCAAGGGGAAATTCCAGACAGAAATAAACAAGAGGTTATAATGAGGGCCGCCATTAGAAATCATAGGAGTCTGTACAGGGCCCCCCTGCCAATATTTCCATTGGACGAGGTTTGACAATGATGTGGATCTCTGCTTGTCCACCTTCTTCCCTGGAAACAAAGCCTTACCTACGTCATTCAACCAAGCAGCTATGGATGAGAAAGCTCAGGCTCCTGCTCAGCCCCCTGTTCTGTGGAAGGCTGAAATCAAATATAGAAGATGAATTTCTACTGCTCTGAGAACTATCGTTTGGCTATGTTTACTATCGGCTTCAGGCATGTGTTATTGGTTTTCGTTTCTGGTGATTCGCTGGGCAGTGGGCATCATCAATGCTGGATGGATGAATGATGGATTTACAATGAGGAACTATTTTAATTTTTTATTCATGAAGGACTTGGTCAAATGTTTAGGTTAAAAATCTTTTTTCTAGGTTCTTATTATTTAGGGGGGCTTCCAGATTTCAGTAAGATTGTGGGGAAGAGGCCCTTGTCCTTCACATGGTGAAAGGTTGTAGCCAGGTGCAATTTATTTTCTGAACTGCAGGTGGTGCTCAACCACAGCGGCATTGCAGAGGGAGAGGAAATCAAGAGGAACACACTCCTCTATTATTTCTGGGTCACTGGGGAAATGATCCGGTTGGATGCTGCTGCCCCATGTGACCCTGGTGGCCATCTTGGGTAAAGTAGAGTCTATTTAAGACCCTGACTCCCAGGTTTGGCGCTCATTTTGCAAGTGAACAGTGCAGGGACAGGTCACCCGTCTGGCAGGGAGAGTGAAAAGCTGTATTGAAAGGTTCCTGATGAGCAACAGGATAGAGACATGGTATCCTTCCTGGAATCCTCCCATTTGGGCACAGACCAGCTAGGCTGCATTCTGCCCTCTGAGACAGACACTGTTAGCACATCAGAGACCTGCTCCATTACGCGTTGCTGTTAAAATTTGTGAGAGTTCCCAGTTGGGTGCCTTCCCGCTGGGCTGTTTATATCATTGAACTTTGCCTTCAATCCAAGGTCCTGGCAAACCGCAGTCCATGGTCACGCCAAGCCCTGTAGTATATATCCTTGTCAATTACCAATGGGTTCTGTGGTTGATCGACATCGGCTCCAAAGTCACTGTCATGGAGTATGACTACACGCAGTGGTTCAGGACACAAGAACAACTGGATCCCCCATGGCAGTCCCTCAAGGTAGCCAGTAACTTACCTATCCTGGTGGAGGATATCACCTGGGTGAGGATCCAGATAGAAGACCAGGATCATGAAAATACTTTATCACACCTCTGGGACTGTCCCAATTTAACAACATGCCCTTTGGGCTGAGTAATGCAGCTTTCTATTGGTGGTATTTCATCATCACTGGATTTTTATTTTTTGCTATATAAAAGAATACCGAAAATGAAAGTTTTTCTAAACTTTTGCAGATAATCTTTGTTCATGAATTTAGGCTAAAATGTATAGTATGTGAGTATAGTATAAATAGTATAGTGGAGAGTAGACAGTCCAAGGTATTTAATAAGAGGCATGGTGAGTTTTTTAAGTTATAGATTTTTTTTTGTTAAAGGTTTGTGGGAAATTAAGAAAAAAAAACTTTTTTTTTTAACTTTTTTTTAACATACTGTCACCAGTGAAATACCGGATATTCATATGATAAATATATAAAATTAAATGTAATAATTTTTCATTTAATTTTTTTAAAAATTTTTCTTTTCTCTTTTTTTACTACATACTCTCATCAGAGTAGTTCAGTGTCACCATAGTGATACCAGACTACTCTGGGAGAGGGGGTGATCAAGGATTTTTTTTCACTATTATTGCTTCTATCAGTAATGATCACTGTTATAAACAAGAGTTTTGACTGTCATGAATGGCTTTTATTCATTACAGCTTGCTTACTATTGTGATGCTGTGGTTGGCTACAGCTAATCACATGGCACAGGGTGCCAGGTACCATGTGGTAGCTGTAGGCCAATCCAGGGGCGGACTTACAACTCATGGGGCCCCCGGGCAATAGGGGATCATGGGGCCCCTGTGTCCTCACCACACCCAAAAAAGCCTATGAAAAATACTAGGGGCATCTCATGGGGCCCCCTACTGACCCTGGGCCCTCGGGCAGTGCCCGAGAGCCCGAATGGTCAGTCCGCCCCTGGGCCAATCACAGCATCACAATAGTAAGAAAATGTCATATATGGAAGCCATTCACGACAGTTTTACTCACACTGTAATCATGTGATTGCTATAATTGTTTATAGCAATCACATGATATCTCAGCCGCTCACACTAGCTGGGTAGAGAGCATTGTGATCCGCTGTGTGACAGCAGTCGTAGGATTGAGCAGCTGCACGCCTCAGGGGGGCATTCCAGTGTGCATGTGCTAAGCAATGTAGCAGTATGTTGCCATCCAACCACAGTAAATGTACTGTGGGTGGGAAACAAGTGGTTAAAGGAGTTATACATCTTTAATTTTTTATTTGAAGCTCTTAAAAATTACTGCTCCTGGCTAAACTTAAAAAGTTTTTTTTTGCATTTGCTTTTTTTTGCATTGGTACATGTTTCCCACGGCAGTGCTTACCCTCCATGCTATTTTTGACTCCCTCTCGCCCATTAGCCAAAAAAATTAGCATTTTTAATTTGACAGATTCAGCTCCTATTGATTTCAAAGGAGTTTGAGTTCAGCATCCAAACTTCTTTGAAATTTGCCAAGCCCTGCTTAAACCAAACCCAGGGCAGTTTGGCTTATCAGCACTGAGGACCAGGATTGTATTTCCTGAGCATAACCTGTGGCCCTTTGGTGTTTGTAGCGTGGCCCTCAGACCCAGCAGTCAGCAGTGGGAATTTTGATTTGTAATGGGTCTGTAATAGCTGTGATCTCTAGCAGTTTCATGCAGCATGTCCACAGGCTTTGACAGCTTGACTCGTCTCTGACAAATGCTGTAGCACAGTCTATAACAATGTTTCTCAATCTTTTTTCAGTCAAGGCAGCCTTTAAAGTTATGAACACTCTTGAAGCACCCTTTAAAATTATGGACAGTCTCAAGGCACCCCATTCTAAAATGTAAAAACTATTCTAATAGTTTTACCTAATGCAGCAACATCTACATATGTAGGACAGCCAATGATAGAGGGGATTTTGTTCTTTCAAAGGAAATACACTTTTTACACAGGGATACTGAATAGTATTTCAGAAGTTTCCTTCTCCCTCAGTTTCTCTCTATCAATCAGCTGATTTAACCCCATTACTGACAGAGATGGGCAGCTGAGGGTCAAACAAGAATGCCATGCAGGCAACCAGCATCCTCCATATGAACTGATGGCATCATTGGTTTTAAGGATGCCAGCGGCTAGAAGGTTGTAATGGTGCACAATGAAAACCTAGGCTTTGTGTAACTAAAAGGCAGGCTTTTTTTTAAGTCCGCAAACGTGCAGATAAACGAAAAACCCGTAAGTGTTCACAAAAAATGTGCAAGTGCAAAACACCACATGAAAAAGTGCACTTAGGGGTGTGCTTTGTCCTTCCCCTGAAGGGGATGGACCACTACCCTGATCCCCCAGGGCACGAAGCTCCTGACAGGGACAAGGTTCCCATTTGGTCCTCCTGGCCAAAAGGCCTGGTGGACCACCGTTCCTTGTGTCCAGCCGAAGCCAGACACCCGGTACTTGGTCAGGGGGCTCTCCCGAAGAGAAAACCCCCTAGGGACAGGGGAGGAAGGAACCAAAAGGCCACACATCCTCCCCCTAGACTTCAGGGCAGGCCCGAGGACCCACACCCTCCATCCTGTGAGGAAAACACACACATAAGTAAAGAAAAAGTGACAAAACGTGGGAGGTGCAATAAATGAAATAAATGAAAAATAAAAAAAAGTGGTTGTGCCAAATTGTGCACAGACCAGGCCCTGAGGTCTGTAGCAAAAATTGCCCTGGTCCTAGCCAAAAGGCCTGGTCCTAAGGGCGCTGTGCAAGAAAAGTGGAAACACATTGACCATGTGCCATTTTCACACAGTGGGGTCCCACACCCAGGTGCTACTAGTGGCACCCGTGAGGCGACTACTCAGGGGGCACTGGTTTGTGGACTTTCTGCCTTCCCGACCCCTGGCCAGACCAAGGTAGACCTGTCAAATCAGGAGGTACTGGGTCCCTCTGACGTTCCAAAGGGGAATTACTTCCAGGCCCCAGCTACGTGTGGGCATCCCGGGTTCTGTTCCCCCCCGTAATAGCCATCAGGACCCCCATCATACCAGCAGGGGTACTATACAAACAGCCATCCCCACAAGGATAGGATGACCGTGAAGCACCCCTACTGGACACTGATAAGAACAGATACTACACTTGATCTTAGCCAAAAGGCCGAGAAGCGAGCTTGATCCACCTGCTGGCTTGCATACAATGTTTGGGCAATTTTTAGGCATAATGCCAAGGCCCCCTGAAGAAGTTTCAAGACACCCCAGGGTGCTTGGGCACGTTGGTTGAAAAAGGCTGGACTATACCCAACTCCTCTTGCAAGTCTTTTAGTCTTTGACAGTCCTTTGTAGCAATACATATAATAAATATTGTGTACGGCCCTTTGGTGGTATCAAGGCAGCATTTGAGGCCCCATATACCCTGTAAGTTGCCAACCACTTCTCTACATGCCTGAGCTGTGAATTTTTCATAAACACTCCTATCCTCCCCCAGTGCATGAATCATGACGGACTGTCAATGCTTATAGGGCTGGATCTGGTTGCAATTGATTTTATCACATATATATTAAGACAATGAGAATGGACTTATTGACAGGAAGGGGCACAGCAACATCTGCACCACAAGAAAACACAGTGTGGAGAGATTTACTAAAACCACTGCAGCTGTGCATGGTAGCCAATCAGCTTCTAACCTCAGCTTGTTAAATTAACCTTTGACAATAAAACCTGGAAGCTGATTGGTTTCTATGCAGAGCTGCACCAGACTTTGAACCATGCAATTTTAGTAAATAACCCCCAACGCATCTCTCTCCTCTCTCTGCTGGAACGCGGGGTCACTGTAAGTTTACAAAAGTTCCTGGTATAAGTAATCCATAAAAACTTTCCTTCTCTTCTGAGTTATTCTGCTGGAGACTCAAGGAATTGTTGCTTAGCTACAAAAAAATCAGTGATGACAAAAATACTAGAAATGATCCACAATATGTCCTCAATTATCGTGCCTATGCACTGCACCTGTAGAGGAGGGCAATTTGTCAAAATCTCACGAAATTAAGATATAAAAAAAATAGCAAAAAGTTACTGAAAAGAGAAAAAAGTAGAAGATGGAATTGGAGTTGCTTGTCTTTCTTCATCAGTTAATGGCCCAGAGCTGTGGTGACCCCAGTAAAGCCGAGGGCTGGGGTCGCTGACAGGTTATAATTATTTCCTGCGGCTAATAGATAATTTCCCTGTCAAATCTCTCAGAGGAGGCTTAGGGAGGGGAAAGTTCTGCCAAGTGAGAGGAAGTTCACCAAGAAACTAAGAAGCTCTACAAGAACACAACAATGTCATTTGTCACCTTCTTGCTGTCAACACTTCTAAGACCATATGGCAGTGATGGGAGGCACCAGACAGGGGAGGCATCACATCAGACATGAACCAGACCAGGGGGCAGCAGACCAGTAATATCTGATCAGATGGGCAGCAGACCGGGGGACATCAAATCAAGTGGGCACCAGACCAAGGGACATCAGATCATGCAGGTACCAGACTAGGGAGCATCGTATCAAGTGCGTACCAGACAAGGGAGCTTGAGGTCAAGTGGGAACTAGATCAAAGGTCATCAGACTAGGTGGGTACCAGACCAGGAAGCATCAGATCAGGTGACCACCAGACTGGGGGGCATCAAATCAGGAGGCTTGGCAAGGGGCACCAGACCATGGAGCATCAGATCAGGCAAAACATTAGACCAGGATACATTAGATCAGGTGAGCACCAGACCAGGGGGAAATAGATCAGACAAGCATCAGACCATGGGCATCATTAGATCAGGCAAGCATCAGACCAGGGAGTATCATCAGACCAGGTGGGCATCAAATCTGGGTGCATCAGATCAGGAAGGCACCAGTTTGGGGGGCATCAGCTCAGGCAGGTTCCAGATGGGGGGCATCAGATGAAGCAAGCACCAGACCAGGGAGCATCAGATCAGATAAGTACCAGACCAGGAGGCATCAAGACAGGTGGGCACCAGACAGAGGGTCAGGTGATCATGTGGGTACCAGATCAAGGAGCATAAAATTACACAGGCACCAGATCAGGGGACATCAGATCAGGTGGGTACCAGACCAGGGGGCATCAGGTTAGGCAGGCACCAGACATGAGTTGATGAGATCATTAGATCATGCGGATACCAGACCGGGAGGGGGGGAGGATTCAGATGAGGAGGGTACCAGACCCGGGAACATTAGATCAGGTGGGTACCAGAGCATCAATGGTCTACTTACAGCTCATATAGTAGGTTAGGTGCAGGATGGTGCAAAGGTCCTTGCAGGGTGAGGGAAGAAAAGTACAATGCCTTGGAGAGATTCAGCAATTTGAAGTATTGTTTGGTTGATCACTGGATCTAAAATAGACACATCTCTCTCATTTATGTATATAACAATAGAACTCACCCAAATAAATATTTTGTTCAACAGACATTGGGAGTAGAGATGAGCGAATTATTCAAAAATTCGATTCGGCTGATTCGCCGAATTCGCGGAATAAATTCGATTTGAGGCGAAACATATTCGCTGCGAATTTAACTTATAAAAAGGGTGTTTCTAGGCTTCAGAGAGCCTTTATATTAGTGCAGAACACTGTACCTTTAATTTAAATGCCCTTGGAGTCTGCTGGGGAAGAGAAATAATACTGTCAGTCAGTATGACATGCAGATGAGTGCCGTCGATCTTAGAATCACCGCACACTTCACTCATTTGGGCAGTCACGGGGCCAAAACCAGAGTGTGGAGCCACAGTGTGGCGGTGGAGGCAGCAGCAATGGGAGGCCATACAGCACCCTATGACAAAATGGAACCCACCAGCAGTGTGAGGAGACCTGAAAGTGGCACATGGCAGAGTGTGGCGATGGAGACAGCAGCAATGGGAGGCCGTACAGGGACCCATGACACACTCTGGACCTGGCAGCAGCATGAGGAGGCGGTACAGGGGCCCATGACAGATTACGGGCCTGGCAGCAGCATGAGGAGTCGGTACGGGGGCCCATGGCAGATTACGGGCCTGGCAGCAGCATGAGGAGGCGGTACAGGGGCCCATGGCAGAGTGGCGGAGCGTAAGCAGCTAAAATTGAAGGCCATACAGAGGCCTATGTTTAAAAAGTCCCCC